ACCATCGTCCTTAACCGTAGCCAAAAAAATTCGTCCGGTGTGAAAAAGTAGGGAAGCTTCCTAAAACACAAACGTTATCTGTCACAATAATCGCCATTACTAGGTGGCTACAAATTCCTCTTTTGTAAAACGTTTTGTCTTAGGAGGCTATAAACCCGGAAGTCGCCACTTTCACTTCCTTCTCGCCTTCATTCTGAAACAGTCTGTTCTGTATGTGATTATATGATTGTCAAGTGACAAAAAAGGATGCTAATCACTAACTGGAGGGAACATAGGAAGAGGAATGAGAAGGATGAGGAGAGGCATGGGACGGTACTCCCTTCCCATTCTAAAGCACAAATCTTCTCATGAGAAGGTTTAGCTGTGTGCAGCTTGAGGTCCTGCGTTGACTCGTAGGAATAGCGCTCCCTGTTGCCCGGTTAACCAGTCCCGACTGTTTCTAAAGAAAGGTGCAATTCTACACCTTAGTGTTGTATTGCATAGAATGGGAAAACATAAGTCACATACGTTTTTGGTCCTCAGCAATTAAAACGTAGCACCTCGAGGCTCTCCTGAAGGCAAAAGAAGCTATACTACTTGGGCAGACCATGTATTGTAGGCATACATTAGGGCTTGGAGTTGCTGGCATGGCCCTGAGGTGCAGTGACGGCGCTCCTAAGTGGCCCATTACCAATACCGAGTTGCACAAACAATTAAGGTATTACAGTACCTTTCCTGCCCTATAGTGCCCGTGCAACCAAACTATTAACGTATTACATGATCCGTCTCTTCTTTTCAGCGTCGTCTCGGCCCTGCTCTTGGTCACTCTCCCGCTTTGGCCAACACAAAGTAGCCGACACTGTGAGAAATACACCCACGGGTCGACCGCTCCAGTCGTTGAATTGCCATACAACTGGGGAGATACTTGACCCCAGCGACGCTTATCGCCCTTGACAGTTACACAAGATCGAGAGTTTCGTCCTATTTGAAGCCTGTATTTGGGGAAGAAAGAATGTTCTGGTCATCAATCGTGTCCATAGCTAGCCGTAGGAACAATGGCTTAAAATTAGGGTAAAATAGCAAAGGACGAGATTTGACCTAGTTACTTCAAGATAGGGTTTCGCGTCGATTCCTCCTTGCCACTTTGTTCGCACTTCAGCGTTGTCCAGCCATATCTCTGTGTTCCATCCAGCCAGTATAGAAGTGGTGGAGACATTGTGTATTCACCTAATTGACGTCTGCATACAGGTACCATGAAAAGCTCCGTAACAAAACTTTTTCGGATGATTCAAGGCCGACGTCACTTCTGTTATTAATGGCTTCCCCACAGACCACGTGACTGGGGTAATTGCTGAAAGTAGAGGCTGTTCTCAACCCTTCTGTTAGGAGTTGTCACAGATTCTCCCATCTACGGCTTACGCACCTCTTCCGTCCCGCTGTTTTTCGTTCAGCAATAGAAATCAGAATTTGTGTCCTTTAAGGTTGGGTTCGCTTTCCACATCACCAATGTAGCGTCCAGAGACTTCACTGAAGAAAAAAAGAGGGTATAATATTAGGGCAGAATGGGCATTGCCGATGTAGAGAAGGGCTTAGTGGCCACTGGCATAGCCTTGAGGCCAGCCCACGCAGAGCACCTGAGTGCTCTCTTTACCAAAAAGCGGAGAGCTAAACAAACAATCAACATTTTACTGAACAGTTTCGTCTTTTATTCCGTCATGTACAAAGCAGCAAAACTTCTGAGGTTTGTGCAAGACGTGGCTTGAAGTGTGGGTGGTTAGTGTAATGAGGGGGTCGGCTGAAGATAGATGGCCGGGTATACGTTTGTTCGCTCATCAACGCAACAAAAAAGCCACTACTCATCTCACATGACATTCAACAGGCAATGCAAAAGAGGGTGAATGAAGGGAACATATTGATGGTCTATAAAAATTAAGGCATTTGGGTAGCAGCCTTTTGCTTAATTCTCTCGACCTTTTCTACTTACGTAGATGGAAAAAACTTATTTCACCATCACCATAAAAGTTAAACATGCCTGAAATTTCTTGAAACTTTGATTAGCGTCGTGTTGTAGTCAACTGCAACTTATTTCTGAGTAATTTTATGACCAGAATCAAATCAGCGGTAAAACGAGTTTGCCGAGACGATTCAAAGGCAAGGGCGTCAAGCCGACAAGCTTGGATGACATATCCTCCAACCGGCGTTTGTTGAAATGACGATTCATAATAGAGAAAAAAAGTTAAACCAAGTCCAGATAGACTGATGCGTAGTTAACTTTTATAATACATGCGGACCATCCCCTGCGTCTTACAAACCCCTACTCGGAAAATCTCGAGAATCTTTTTGGTCACTTGGTAGTTACCACTGTTGTTTAACAACAAGTATACTACAGGTAGACGCACTGAAGTTGAGGAACCTTCTTCTTGGTCTTACCGAGATTTCGAGGAATGTGACCTGGCATAATAACTTTACTTGCTCTCAGTATCCAAAGCTTCCATGTACAAATGGACCTCAATGATAGGAGAAGTAATTCATGAGTTCTGAAGAGCGGAAGCATCAAGTGGCTCAGTCCTACAAGAGTTGCTACCGAATTTGCGGTGATTCTTCATCGTACGTAATGCTTTGGTACCACAAATGGCTATAAGTGCGGTTACTTTATCTGGTTCAAGTGCAAAGTCCTGAGACCTCCCTGAAGACCAAAGGGGACTTAATACTAGGGCAGAATATATATCGTCGCCCTGTTTAAGGGCTGGAGGGTGGGGCTACTGGCGTGCCTTGAAGACCATTCCACGCAACGTAACCAAAATGAAGAGTTAGAAAAAACCAAAGCATTACATCGCTCCCTGCGCTCCCCTAGGTCAACCTTTCGCGCCCACCATTGTGTAATGTGGTCGGTGCTGCAAGAAACACCCACGAATTAACCACGCCAGCCTTTAAATTTGCTTTAAATTGAAAAGATATCTAACTGCAATATCGCTGATCTCTCTCTTGACAATGCCACCGGATCTGGAGTTCCGTCCAGTATAGGAACTGATTTGGGGGGAAGGGAGAATGTTCCAACCATCACGTATACACATCGAGGGGTCATTTAATAAGGAATGTGGATTAAAGTAGTATAAGGTTTCGACACCATTCCTCCTTACTACACCGGTCTCAGTTCAGTGCTACCCAACCATATCTGTCTGAACTCTATCCAGCTGTCAGAAAGAGGTGGGAGAGGTGTCGCAAGTTCACATAATGGATATCAACATAGAGGTACCGTAGACCGCTCCGCAAGGAACTTCCCTGCATGGTTTACGGCTAATCCTGCCTGAGTTGTCACTAGCGTTCCTACAGACCACGCCGGAAAGGTAGTTGTCAAAGTTTGACATCATTTTTAACTATCGTTCGGAGTCGTAAACGATCCTCCCATCCGCAACAAATGCCCTTCTTCCACCACGTCAACGTTTAGCACTTAGAAAATAGAAAACAGAGTAGTAGCTTATTTTATGGCCTGGTTTGCCATCCACTACCAGCTATGTAGCACCATGAGACTCTCCCAGTAACGAAAACTGTTATGGTACCCGGGTAGAATATATGTTACCGACATATTGAAGGGCTGGGAGAGCTGCTGACATGACAAAAGGTCATGCCCTCCAGTGGAGGTACAAAGGTGGAGCCTCAAAAGCCTGCAAAAACACACCGAGGAATTAAACAAATACCCAAAGTAACATGATTAATATCCCTCAGTTGCCATCCTCCAGTTTCTACACAGACTTTCATTTTTGTGCAGTTGCACGAAACACGAGAGAATGTTCAAATTACTGGACTGGATCGGATTTTAAGGGCACACCGATTGTGAGAGGGTTAAGTTTACAAAAGTCCGAGGCACTGATCAGGCAACTGTTTACATTGTCGAGATCGCAGTGAACAACCTAAGGAGACGACCTTCTGTTTGCATCGGTAACTCAGTTATTTGTTTATGTGGTGATGAGGACGGTATAGAAATCTACAAATCACGGAAGTTACAACACCTTCAATCTTGTTAAAGAATTGATGATCAAATTTGATGCCATTTTAGAAGGAAAAACCCGCTTTAGCACCAAGATGCACTGAAGTGCAGGCTTATTTATTGTTAACTTGTCCATTATTCTGCATCTGTAATACCTCGATTGTTTGACTAACTCCTTGACTTGGTTTTGCAGGCATTTAAGATTTCGCTTTGGTACTTTTAGTGGGCGATCTAGGCTCCAGGCCACGCCAGTGTCCACCACACCCCCCACCCCTCTCCCGCAAGTTTTTCTCTGCCTGGACAACAATAGCTCTGCCATGGCATTATGACTTCCCCTGCCTTCAAGGAAGACTAGGGGTGCTGCAGTGGTGGCAGCGGAAAACAAAGCCGACCCTAAAAAGCGCCCGCCCTGATTTCCCCTACTGAGCGCTGAACACAAACACGACGGAAAAAGGATGTGTTGAGGATGGGAGAATCAGTGACGAGCCCTGATAGAAGCGCTGAAAATGACGACTACCCTCGGTATCTACCCCAGTTCCATGATTTGCCCTAGTTTCATTTCAGATGGAAGAAGGGAACTGCCTGTGAAACCGAGAAGTAGTGAACATAACTGAGGATTGAGTACCACCAAATTTACCAGCTTCAATTAATACCTCCACAGATCACGAAACCGCTTTTCTATTGCAACATATATGATGTTCATTGACATTCTAGGTCGCTCACCCAAACAATAGGAAAGGACCATCAACCTTGTGGGTCACGCTCTAAGACGGTAGAAACAATAATTACACTTCATTGCATAATAAACAACTCTACAATCATCTTGGAGACAATAAAAAATGTCAGAAAATACTGCGTTTATTTACTCGATGTTAAATAAATTAGCTGACGTGTAATTTGTCAGAAATTAGGCAAACAAAGAGAAGTAAGGGAATATCAGCCTACACAGTGGTAGACGTTAGAAAGGCCAAGCAAAAGAACTAATACGTGGTAGTGAAACGGAACGCCATTGGCGCAGCAGCGTACAGTCATACTAATGATCTTTTCTGTTGTGCTTGATGAAGGCAATCAGACCGTTCGTTGATCCGTCATGGGAGGTTACCACATCTTCCGAGTGAATTTCAGGCTGCAACTTCTTGGCCAGCTCCTTGCCCAACTCCACGCTGAAAGTTAAGCGATAAAACAATCACATCAAGATTTACGTAATGAACAAACGAACGAGTATCCCTAATTATACCATAAGCTGTGTTTTCGTCAAAACAGGGGGCCAGTCATTTTACGGAGGACTGCTAACAAGACACGGATCTGTAACGACAAAATCGGGAGTTTTTTTAATTGTCTGCGTCTGGTAACCGTTGCGAGCATTCAAAGTTGAGTAGAATGGAGGGTATAGTAATAAGTGGAGAGGAAGGTAAATAAGACTCACCCCCACTGATCGTAGGAGTTGATATTCCAAATGGCGCCTTGTGTGAAGATTTTGTGCTCGTACATCGCCACGATAACACCCAGCATAAAGGGATTGAGCTCAGTGAAGATAATTGAGTTAGTGGGTTTGTTGCCACGGAAGGTCTTGTGTTTTACTAACATCTCCAACTTGTCACCAGACACGCCTTGGGCTTCCAACTCCTTCCGCGCCGTCTCCGGTGTCTTGCCCAACATAAGAGCTTCCGTCTGAGCCAAGAAGTTGGAGAGCAGAATCTGTGGTAGCAAGAGAGAATCGGTGAATCACCTGGTACCCAATTAATGAAATGAGAAAACGAGGGAGGAGAAGTGGAGGCAAACCTCGTGGAACTCTCCATTCTTTATGGGATTGTGGGAGCGAACAGGAACGAGGAAATCACAAGGGATGAGGAGAGTGCCTTGGTGGATGAGTTGGTAAAAGGCGTGCTGCCCGTTGGTGCCCGGCTCGCCCCAAACAATGGGGCCGGTATGGTAAGAGACGACGACACCGTCACGAGTCACGTACTTGCCATTCGACTCCATGTCGCCTTGCTGGAAATAGGCTGGGAAGCGATTCATGTACTGATCATAGGGTAGTATGGCCTGGGTCTCTGCGTTGTAGCCGTTGATGTACATTACACCGAGCATGGCCAATATGATTGGCACCTAAAAAGGGGCAAGAACGCCTTATTACCACAACTTAAAGTTCACATTCAGCTGAAACACATGGGCAGCTAGCTAAAACAGTCATTAGTGTCATAACCACAATTACGCGAATCAAAGTGAACTTATTTCCCAGGTTTCATTAAAATGGTTGATTATGCAAACAATCCAACATAGCAGGTAATGACAAGAAAATGGTAGAGTTAAGAGTTTCAAGGTCGAGGATCTTCAAAATCGTACATTTTTCTCGATAGGAGTTTCTTTAAAGTGCTTGTCCATGGCGTGCGCACCGGCAAGGAGGCGCTCAAAGTTGTCCATGCCTGGAAGAAGAGTTTTGAAAAACACAATTTGGACTTAGAAAAGCATAAATTCGGTAGGTTATTTACGAGACCCACCATTTAAAGTATCAGAGTGGAACTGCACACTCAAAACAAATACCTACCGATATAAAGAGCAATCGACAACCCAATTGCAGACCACATAGAGTAGCGGCCACCAACCCACTACAAGGATAAAGTGATGAGATAGATTCCGATTTTAAAAGCTTCGTAAGGTTTTACGTAAATGTGGCATAAAAGTTGGTCGCTAAACATGCTAATGACTCACATATTCAGGACGTCAAAACTTAAACATGCTTTCAGGGAGCATAAGGACAAAAAAGTAAAAAACCCAATGTTACCTACATCCCAGAATTCAAACATATTTTCCTCATTGATGCCAAAGGCCTTTACCGCCCTGGTGTTTGTTGACAAAGCGACAAAGTGATTAGCCACAGCTTTCGGCTGGAAGAAAAGACGGAAAAGTAGAGATTTTATTCCAGAAAAAAATTATAAACGCGTGACGGCAAAATATGGAAAAAACCAACCATATTCAACCGACGAACTTAAAGCTCTAGCTCTTATAAGCTTTGACAGAAAATAGGCACATGTGTAATTAAAAACTATAAAGTGCTAGAGGATAGATGATGGTAAGGACAGAGAAATAAGACCTACATCTTTTAGTTGCTCCAACAACCACTCTTTTGCAAACTGAGCATTTGTCATGGTCTCAGCGGTGGTAAAAGTCTACAATGACAATCCAAGAGCATCTATTACTTAAGAATTAAGCGATTCAAAAATCGTCAAAATTATTTACCTTAGAGGCAATAATGAAAAGAGTCGTTTCGGGTCGAACATGTTTGAGAGTCTCAGCGATATGCGTCCCATCAATATTGGAAACAAAGTGAACTTTCAAGTTAGTGGCATAAGGCTTTAAGCAATTTGTAGCCATAACAGGTCCCTGGAAAACGAAAATGTCATTTTGACCATTGCATCGACCATAAAAAGATGACTACTGCAGGAAGGATATGAGTAACTAAGTATTATAGGATATGCAAATATTTTACTAGATCTGATCCACCAATTCCAATGTTGACGACATCTGTAAACGCCTTTCCAGTGAACCCTCTTATTTTCCCGACAAGCACACCATCGGTAAAAGCACGCATATGTCTAAGCACTTTGTTGACTTCAGGCATAACCTAGCAAAAAAGGTGAGCAAAAAAGTAGAATATCTACATCCTGGCCATCGACAAGAATTGGTGAATTCGATCTATTCCGAAGTGCTACATGCAATACCGCACGATTCTCCGTAAAGTTAATCTTCTCGCCCCGGAACATGGCATCACGCAATTCCTCCACATGTGATGCCTTAGCGAGTTCAATCAATTTTTGCATTGTTGGTTCATCAACGTAATTCTTCGAGTAGTCCACAAGTAATTTCCCTTCGGGGAAATCAAGCTGCCGACTGAGAAAATAACAAACCAGTTTCAAACATTACCTGTATTTCTGAAACCTTTGGGAATCAGCATCAAATAATGCCTTAATAGTGGTATCCAGAGGTTTAAAGTTCTTGACAAAATCCATAAGAGCAGCCATTCTAGAGGACACAAGCGTACGTGACAACTGCGCTAGATCTAATCGCGGTGCAAGTGGAGGGTAGCTAATTTGATTGATGTAAACAATTTGTTTAGTTTAAAAAAGTTACCAAGACCAAAAACTGCATTTTTTATATTTAAAATCGAAAGTTGCGTTGGTATTCATGGCACCTACTGCTTGAATAAAAGTCTACACAACAGTCCCATTCATTTTCAAATATTGTTGTTGTTTTTTTGCAAAAATTTGAAAAAGGCAGCAAGCGTTACTTAGTCTTGACATTAGTGTATCACCTGAGACTATCCTGGAGACAAAAGTGGACATAATACTGGCGCAGAGTTTATATTATTCGATGTGCAATAGGAATCAGGGCTACTGACATAGCCCGTAGACCTACTTACCTAGCATAGATATAATATTAAAGTACCTAAGTGGCCTTTTTACCAAAATTGAGCGTCAACTGTCCAACCGGTGTACTTTAGAATATTCACAGGAAGTTGATTATATACTGCTTTATTTGTTGCTTCCAAGCCCCTCTCAGGGGCAAAATATTGCGTTATTTTGCAAAATAAGTCGATTTTGATAATTACCGTCCCTTTATTGGCAGATTGCTAAAATGTATTGCCGAAGTATCTTGGGATGCAATGAAGATGTAAAAATCTGTTGGTAGTTACCTCAGGAAGTGTATCTAAGCTGTGTACACCTCAAGGAAATTATTGCAATCACTTGTTAGTTAAAATGGCTATTAGCGGATTAAGTGAACCTATTCTAAGTGGTCCGAAACCCACTGTAGAGCAGTTAATCCTACTTACGTGAAAATTTGGGAACAGCAACAACCTTTCCAGCAAATTAAACATAAATTGGGGGCTACTAAGACTCTTAAGCAGTCCTAAATAGAGACCAGATTGCTGAGGAAGTATAAAAGTGTAACCCATGTGGATTACCACTCAGCCTTAGTAAGTACTGTAGCCCCCAGAGACTTTTATGTGGACGAAAGGCGACAAAGTACATAGCAGAAAATGCTTTGTCGGCGTGCAGAAGGGTTTAATGGCTAATGGTATGGCCCAAAGGCCAGCCCACACAGCGAAGGTACAATGGCTAGGGCTTGAATTGACCCTTCACAAAAACCGAGAGTTAACCAAACAACCAACGTATTGCAGTAAGTTGTTAGGAACTCCGCCCCAACAAGTGCATTGGCTGACTTTGACCAAATTCTGAATAACACAGAATCAACGGGATTCGAAATTAACATCTAAGTCAAAATTTGGAGGCCACCCTTACTGATTTGAGAATAATTTGAGTGGTGGGTTCGTCCCGACAGCCCATGTGTGGGTAACTCAACTGCTGCTTAAAAACCCAATCTGGAGGAATACCGTTTCGACTATACAGGTAGCCTCAAAGTCCCATACATCAAAAGTCAATCCGTTACACCAGTGGAACTTTCTGCGAATGAAGGAATTATAAGTGTTCCGCTAGATTTTAAAACCCTGGAGAGTATAATAACATGCTCTGGAATCTAATGCCTATTATAAACACTGCCTACAAACAAGTTTACGCGCACAATTGGAATTTTCTCATTTTATTCAAAGGTTCTCACATAGCAATGGCACAATTGAGTCTAACAGGCCTTTGATGGAAATCAGAGTACAAATATCCCACATTTTAAATTAGGACCACAGCTTAGTTAATTTTAATGTTCTATCTAGCAGATATTCTACACTCATGTTAGAAACCAAGAATAAGTGCAAAATTATCACACATTCAACGCAAAAAACGTTTTGTCTACCAAAGAGACTTCTGAGAACAAAAGTTTGCAGTATATTATATTGTAGCATACCGAGACTTCCATGAAGACGAAAGAAAACACAATACTCGGGCAGAATATATATTCATTACAGAGCTATTGGGATGGCTCGAAGGCCAGCCCACCTAGCGCGGTACAACAAGGCTAAATCAAGGTACAAAAGTGGAGCCTCACCAATACCGAGGGATAAACCATCATTGTATTACAGCATGTTGCATGTTTGCATGACCTCCGGTTTTGGTGATGGAGGCGCTTAAGCTCTACGCCATCAAATTTTCGCCTGGAAGTCTGGCTTTCAAGCCACGACAGTAGGCCGCAGCCCTTTCGTAGGTCGCTATAGCGCATTCTGCATACGTACTTATAGAAATCCAACACTTCATTAAGGACAAAAGAAGACAAAAAATCAGGCAGAATGTGTTGTCGACATACCGTAGGGATTAGGGCTACAGACATGGCCAGGAGGCGGGCTCATTTGACAAAGGTGCAATGATGGAGTACCTAAGTGACCCTCTATAAAAATCGAGAACTTAGTAAACAATCAATTTGTTACGTACTGCATCTTCTTTAGACTTGGGGGGGGGGGGGAGGGCGACGGGTCGCTACAATATTACTCTATACAAAAAAACCAGTAGTGCAAATAAGGCTTCCTTAAGAGCGATAACCCTGTAGTCCAGTGTAAAATAGGAGAAACTTATATGCGTCATTATCTGCCCCACCATATTTAATTTGGTCAAAGTCTACTATACGGAATTTGCATTCGTCCTTAATTGTGCCGTCTTCTTGTAAGTGTGACTGAAGTTAAGCATTCTTTGATTATAGACTAATTACTACATTTTTTTAACGACCAGGATAGATAGCATATTAAATTAGGCATTATGACGAAAGTACTTCGAAGCATATGTTATGTTTGCTGCCTGTTAAACTAAGCTATGCTAATTTTTTTGCTAATGCTTTTGCTTGGCTACTCATAATTTTGTCACAACGAAGATCACAAATACTTAAACAAATTGGAATTGGTTTGTTTTAAAAAGTCCGTTTTAGCACTTCTTCGTTGCTTGTTCGTAATGGTGGGTGTGGTGGTGTTGCGCCCGCGCTACTTTGAGTGCGATAGTTATACTACTGTTTTTTTGCTTGTTTTAGTTGGCACGTGATTTGCTCCATCCTTCACTAGCAGAGGAGAAAAGGAAATGTAAATTGAAGCGTTTGGTTCCATCGCCGAACTCCTATTTCATGGACGTAAAATGTGCTGACTGTTTAAAGATACAGGTTGTATTCAGTCATGCCCAAACTCCTGTCGTATGTCCAGGATGTGATAGGATCCTTTGTACACCCACTGGTGGGAAAGCCAAGCTGACGTACGGTAGGTAGTGCACTTTGGTTTTTTTCTATGCTTGGTGCTTTTAGGCTGCAAGTTCCGCATAAAGAGTCGATAAATGTATGATTGCACGGGTGTACAACTTGCATTCTAAACAGGAATCAGCTACTTGGATTATCTGGCTTTTGTTGTGGGGTGCGAAGTGGAGTCTGGAAGTTGGTGAGTTGCAATTCCGACGCCTCTGCGGTATCGTTTTCTATTTTACTCGGGAATAATGGAGTCGTGTTAAGTGTTTGCTCGTGCTGTCGGATACGCCAATATCTATTGACATATACCGTCTGTGCAATAACATTATATTAATGCTTTATTTCCATGCCCTTTTTCTTTTGGGTTTCTCATTTTTATTGTATTTGCTGATCTCAAGAAAACCACAGGAAGCAGCGCCCTGGAAAAGTGTGAACTAGAGTGTTGCATCAGATTGAACGCGGTGCTCAACCTTCATCAAGTTATACATTGTGTGCTGGTCTCGTGTCACATTGCAAATTGAGAACATAAGTGTGGGTTCAAATACTATTCACATTGCAATTCCTCTTGGTTTATAGGGTATATTTCACCGGACTAAGTCGCCACTTTTGCAGGTGCGCTATGCCCTGTCGAAATGCTTCCACCTAAGATTGTAAATTGCTCGTCTTTTGGATCTTCATGTGCTGATGCATTCCTTCCTGGTTGGTCTTCGTGCTGATAACTATGAGTACATAGGATAGAGGAGTGGCCCCTCCCAAATTCATTTATGTGGACTTCTTGTGCGAAGAAGGCCCAATGGCGATTTAGGACGGCCGAGATGTCAATAACCAGTGACATAGGCTATCCTGGGTCGTTGGGAGGTCCCTTGCGAGTGCCTTTCCCCTGTCTGCCACGATTGACTTCGGTAAAGTGAAATATTTGTAGAGGCCAAAACTGGTAACTTCAGTTTCCATTCCATTTTCAAATATAATGGTGGTTTGGTGGGGACTATGGTTCTTTCGTGGGACCCATTGTCGTTAGTGATCCGTGGCGGCCTCCTTCAGAGGGGGTATTTCATCTGGCTACAAGGTTTTTGTCGATGCTAAAAATCGTTGAACTAAGTGGACAGTTCCTATGATGTTGGGTATGGCAGGTATAGGAGCACCCAGAGAGCGATATCACTGTGCGAAGGTGGGGTTGGTGTTTACGTATAGAAGAGTCAATTCGAACCCTAAAGTAATCATTGGTAGGCTGGGCGAGATTACGTAGTTAGGCTGTCGTAGATGGACGGTACTTGCTTGCCTCCGCCACATCGGCAGTGTGGCGTTGTATTCACATTATTTCTCTTGGTAGGCTGCCGGCTTCTATGCGTTTGGGATGGCGTTCTGTCCTTAATCGTAACGTTTATCGGCTTCTGAGATGTCATACACTTGGAATGAATGCTGCACAGTTGCGTCTAAGTACTGTTTCCATTTTGTTTTCCCCAAAACATATATTTACGGAATGAGTATTACATTTATCGAAAAAAATGGTGTATCACCATATACGATATTGTAAATGGTGTGTGGACAGCTTCGACTCCTTCAATGTATTGACAAGTACTGCTTTTGGTGGCACTTCTGTTGGTAATCTTCACGGGTCTAAGCCCTTAAAAATCCCTTATTATAATAGTGATTGTTTCATGAGGGATTCAGACAATCCACGTAGACAGATGCGTCAGAGGGCACTAGCTAACACTCGTCGCACTGTTGCGAATGTTAAATCCGAGTTAACTCGGAGGTGTCTATGATATGATGCGTCAATGAGAGTTTGCAGTCTAGGAGCACAAGTGGCAGGGAGGGGGCCTTACAACACCGACACAGGCTTTATTTCAGATAGTCAAAAAAAGGCATGCTCATTTGTTAAATTAAAGAGTATATTCTGTTACAAATACGATTGATGGATAATAGAGAGATTTGTTCGCGTATTGACGTCATACTATAGTAAGACGTTCCCTTCCGTAGGATTCTCACATGGTCGCTTCTGTGGTTTATTTCGCCCACGGCGTTATCCATGAACCTTTGCGCTTAGATACGCGATTAATGGCTACTGAATTTTATTAAACACCTTGAAGATTAGCTAAATATCGAAAAAAAAAATTCAAGGTAAATGCCAAGTTCTGCTCTGTAGAAGGCGGCAAGGCATAAAACTTAACCAGTTAGAAAGGTAAACATGCTTAATGAAAGGGGTCGTCTGCGGAACCATGGAACCGCACAGTGTTACCGCGTCAGATTCGCTATACCCGAGGCTTAATCAAGTATTCGCTTTTTTTTGTGTAACCTGGTTTAACAAAACCAAACAGCATAATTATATTTTGGAATTGTGGGACCGTTCCCTTAGCTTAATCACCTACTATAACATCTGACAAAAGCAACATTTCTGCAAATGAATTCGTAATTATCACGATAACCACTCAAGACTACACACTGGCTTCTTTGAGGCCTTCGGTCTGGCACATAAACCTTTAGCCAATTTAGTCACCAGCGTTAGCACAATAGTTTGTAAAATGCGCGAGAATCGGTTTTCTGTGGCTGAGAATGGCGTTGCAAAAGTTGCAGACATCAAACGCAATTGACCTGAAAGGGTCTGTTGAAGTAATTGCGGATTATTTTTGTAAATTCTGTTGCTCATTGATGCTGTCTTTTCAGATGTGGCAATTAATAATATTCTTTATATTCGGGGTGTCTACCCAGAAGCTTCTTTCAAACAAGTGAAGAAGTTTGGTCGCTCTGTTCTGATGACAACCGATGAAGAGTTGATTGACTTTTTAAACTGTCTTGTCAAGCAAATGAAAGGTAGTATTGCCTTGCTTTAAGCAGTTTGATCACTCTCAGTATGGTTGTCTAGCGATTCTTTGAAAAGGCTTGTTCTTGTGATTAAATCTGCCAAAACTGAGGAGGTTCTGGAGCGTTGGCAGTTTAACGTTGTGAAGGAAGAAGAATCATCTTCTGTGTAAGCCTTGATTCATTTAGATTGCTGTTAGTGAACCGAAAAGTATGGACCAGGTGAATAACGAACTCAGCGTAATAATCCGTCAAATTGTTTCGTCTTCAACATTTTTACCCGTTTTGTCTTCATCATGTAGGTCCTTTTTAATGTTAAGTTTGGCGTCTGGTGGTCTGTTTTCCCTTCACTAATGCACTTGCAATTATCTTTGCTGCATACTATTATTACTCATTCGACAGCTGTTTTGTCATTATCTATGCCTACCACTTACTTTTTTGTTCTTAGGTACATTTAACCTACTAGTTTATACTGACATAAATACTGAGATTCCGGAAGGTTGGGACGAAACAGGTCCTTGTTTTGTACCCAACTCAACACATGTGCAACTGCGTTCATTTTCTACCCGAATTCACAAAGTAGATTCGATTGTTTCGTACCGATTGAAATGAATTTGTGTTCACTTTGTTTGTGTTACCAATTTTGACACTATTGCCTACTTTGATGTTGCTTTTCCGTGTTTTCTGTGGCATGTATGTCGAATCCTGGCATTGTTTTGCTCGCAAATAGCTACTTGTATTAGTGCAGATACCACCTCTACGATCTACACACGTAAGCGCCCACCAAAGTGACCAACTTTTATAGACATGTTTTGCGAGTTAGTGTGTCATACCCCATTTCTCTCTCAGGTACGGCTTCTTTACTCCGAGTAACACGCCGTAGTCAGTTACATACTTCCACTCTTTGTGCTCGTAAATTGTTATTTATAAGGTAGAGAATTGTAATTTTAGTAATGTGCGCTGAGGATGGCCTGGTACGGCTACATTTCTACCGCCAATTTCTGATTGATTAGATATCAGTTGGAAGAACTGTTGTTAGGGCGGTGAGGCTCAGCCCATGAATCTAACCAGATGGTCCTAAAAGTGCTCCCTGGTTGGGCGTACAGTTGTGACTGACTGAATGTTGTGATGGTAGTGTCCTCTCTAGGCGTCCACCGCGGCCATTCTTCGTGTGTGAAAGCAAAAGTAATCGGTGGTTAGAGGTTAAACTGTAGGCCGGGGTAATCTGCATGCGACAGTTCTACATCTGAAGGACATCAGAGGTGGGTGGCGGATGCGTATCGTAGGTTTTAGTAGGTGAGCGTGACACGGTCGTCGGGTGTGCAGCGTGGTCGGGGTGTACGTGCGAAGGGACCCTCGAGGTTGACCAATCCCCCGTGCCGAGTTGTTAAGCCTCGTTATATTTCCACTTTAAACTTCTCTGCCATGTAATGGTGGCGAATATTTTGATTTCTCATAATCCCAAGGTTCTTGTGAAACCAGGTAGCAGGTCTCTTTTTCACATAGGCTACATCGGCTCATTCACCTAAGTTCGTAGTGCGCTGTTATTCATGTTGTCAAATTCGCGATTGAGGGTTGTTTAAACTGTGACATGACTCTAATAGCCCCTAGGCTGGGGGTCTCAGCACCTTCAAGTGTATATACGTTACGCCATCCGTTAGCGAGATGCGAGAACGGCGCAGGCGACCTGAGTAGACGCAGCCCGTTCCCAAAGAAGCGATATTAGCGCACACTTTTTTGCTAGGAATGTGAAGACGAATATGAGGATCACAGCATTTACCAATATGGTACCCAAATTATCCCAGAAGTATTTGTGATACGTACGAGACCTATGGCACATTTGCCATCAAGAAGCAGAAGGGTTGGAATATTTAGAGCTTAAAATTTTGGGACGGGCCTCTGTGTCACAGAGAATCTGGAAGATATAAGCTAAAACGAATGACATTAAATAGTCGGCTTAACTTTGAGGGCTGCTAATTCTGGCATGTTACACGGCGAAATCATACTTTCGAGCCCAGCCACTTAAAGTCGAGTAAAAGGGGTCTCAGTGTTATTGCATACTCTGAGGCGTCTCAGATAGCTTTAAAACGGGTAATATTTTTCGTGGAATTCCATTTCAATATTCCACAAAACCCTCGTTCGAATTTGGCCTGCCAAAAACACCACGTTGCAGTTCCATGTGCAACATTAAGGTGGAAAAAACGCTCAATAAACATGTAGTTTGCATTAATGACATTGGTGTACATATCGTTCATAAGATACGGAAATTCTGTTTATGCGTGTCTCAAGGCAGCCCCTGTTAGTGGACAATTCGGCTGCTGTGGCTTGGAGGCGGTGGTGGTCGTCCGCCGGGGTAGCAAGCGGTGGGGTTCAGCCGCTTATTTCATCACTCGATAGGCATATGAGTAGATTCCGCAAACAATTTTGGGTTCGATGTTGCCTATGCACCAAAATTTTTTGCTGGGCGCCATTATTTCTTCTTTAAAGAAATAATTTTTTACTAGTGGGAATAAAAGATTAGCTGAATTCTAAGTTCTACTTTATGTGGTGTTATTGTACTGGCGTCGTCCTTGATTTCTTGATTTTCAACACTTGCTGTCCTAGCTAAAATGCTATAACTTTTGCTAACTGTTACTTTCACTATTTTAATTTGATTATGGATGACAGTATCAATTCCTAGTGAATAAGAAGCCAAAGTTTGCAATAGCAGCTCGTCTATTTTACTTTGTGATTCGAATCATTTGTAATCCTTTTTTGGTATAGTTCACGTCTCCAACCTCAGTAGCATTTTGACAAATGGGCTCACCGCCGCTAAGACGTGAGAGTCGGTTGGACGTCACTAGAAGAAAGTGATCACCGAGATTCTTCTATCACTGAATGATTACTTTGAAGGCCTTCATAGGCCGAAGGATCTCTGCGAAGTCGTGCGCGACGTCCTCATTCTGGGGCTTTGCGTTTTCTTCACCTTTGTCGTTACCCTCGCCCTCTCTCTCAGTGCGTTTGCTCGCATTTATGCCTTTGAATCCGATTCAAATGGCCTTCTATTTGCACATCTTTTTTATTCACTCTCGTCGGTCAGATGTGGAGCTCCTGCATCGGATCCTACAACTGGGGTGTATGTGGCACACTAAAATTCTATTGTAAAAGGCCGATATTTTATTGCAAAATTTACGGTTAAATTTCCGACATTATCTAGTTTAACTTGCTTAGTCGTTGTCCTTTTTGCCACTTGAATTACAGCACTTATTTTTACCTTTCGTCTAACTTTGGCCGTCCACTCTTTTCAATTAGTGATTTTTTGGACAAAATTCTGGGTGAAATGCTGCAGGGGGTGACCTCGCGCAATAAAATGGTGCTTTTGGTGCGGAGATTTTTAATCTGGATGAATTGCACTTTTTTCCCAGACCGTAAATGTTTAAATTATTCACTTTCTACAACCTCACTGTTTATATCTCATTCAGTACCATTCTGGATAGTGTAACATGTATATTTTTCACTCTCCGGTAAATTTTGTATTAATAGTCCCCGAAATTATTTTGTATGGACACATTCTTTTGCGAATTATTGTACCTCACTATATCTTTTTGTCAAATGGAAAGTAACTTCTCCACTTCAATAATAGGAAAGCCCCGGCTCTCTTTTCCGTTGCATTCTTCACTGACGACGCCTTGTGGCGAGTAACTGCATTCCCACCTCCCGGTTCTGCCGGCCAACGATGCTGGATCGATCGCTCCAGTGATCCTCACTGGCTTCTCCGATGGCTTATTTCATCTCCCTCACCGTTATTCACGTGCCTGGGTGGGTTGTCACTCGGATTCATTCTGCGCGAATTAGCGCTTTTAATGCATGGGGCGCCCATTTGTGTTTATGATCTGTTCACTTTCCCTAAATAAGTACTAGCTGGTTGATTATCTTCTGTTAATCTTGCTTTTAGAGAAAGCAACCTTAAGAACCAACAACCATCGTCTTAATTTTACTAAAGCATGTTTCTTGTCTTTCTCTATATTACTCCTTCAGATGCGTTATGTAGGCTCGTGCGGCGAGCGCTGGAATTACGATGGACATCCACATGTCACTTATCCCTGATCCGATACACCGTCCAATTCTATTTTTCTCCTGTTAATTCAATATTCCCTGAACATTTTTTCATCTTTATCCTCGCACACCCCGCGTGGCCAAACTCTCGGTATTTGCTCCGGCTGTGTTGAACCACCGCGGCTGCCACAGGATCCTGCACACTCTTCTCAACACAGTCATATTTTGACCTAATTGAAGCTTAAACATTTGTAAGTCGTTTACCATTTCTTACTCTCCATGTATATCCACGAACTGGGCATCAACAATACTAGAATCCCTAATGATCCTGGCGTTTTTAAGACATGCATTTGGCAATAGCAGTTTACTTGACCATTCAAAAAGGTGTGGTAATAATATGAAAAGAGGTAGATAAGTACAAAAATGCAGGCGTAGCAACACTTCAAATTCATTAGCACAAAGGCTGTGAAGTGCTGGCAGTAGCAGCCTCGCGCAACTTTCGATCAAAGAAATCTAAGACAGCGGTCATCACGTAGGCGTGAATTAAGTCGTTCTCCTTGGTGCCTATTGGGGTGGGAGAAATGGACAAGAGGAAATATGATATCCAAATCATAAAAGCGGCAAAACTGAAGTGAAAGCTTCAGTTGCGGAGGTCACATCGTACTGTTTCAATCGGACACATACCTCAAACAGCAAGTGCTGCTACACTTGACAAAAACCCCTGGGAGAGGGGACAATATCAGTACTACTTAGTGCTCCTGAGAAACGCTCTACACAGATAACGTTCTCTACGGGTGCTTTATCGGCACTAAATGGGTGCTGATAACATAGTCGAAACAACAGTACATCAAAGCCTTAATCACAATAGCACTTAAGGTGCCCCAATCTTCGATCACCTGCAATCATTAGTATTTCTAAACATACATTCGGTACCATATCAACTAGAGCAGCGCCTCAGAAGTACAAATGATCTAATTCAGCCCCTTATTGCAACGACATACCCGCTGAAAACGTGGGAAGACTTCTCTGTCGGAAACGCTGAGTGGGCAGTGGTTCTCCCACTTTCAAATTCGACGGCACATATTGAATGGCGTTCTAAAAGCGAACAAATGATATGGTTGAAGAGGGTAACTCATAGATAAAATAATGACCATTACACAATTTAACAGTCTAGATGTCCTTTAACTAGGAGGAAGAGGGCAAAACAGATGTCCCGTGTTAGCTATGGCTGACGGGTCTTGCCTGTGCGAACCACTTCCTGACTGGAGCAATGTCTTGCTGTGGCGAAGAGTGCGTAGACAGTGCCATCTCGGCGTTGAAAAGGCCCCAGCCAATACCACTCTGCGAGAAATTCGTGAACATTTGACAGGGGTCCACGAAGGCTACGGCCTTGACCCTCGACTGAAGGCTCAACCAGTAGGTCCTGGCCCGATCACACCAAGCGGCTATGATTTTGCGTCTATGCGTGTCCGCCTGAGAAGGGGACGAGGCGCCGCCTGAAGGAGGTAGAGAAAAGGGAAGAGATGAAGGGAGAAAAGACCCACAAAACAAACCATATCCTTGCAAAGAGAGCCGCACGCAATACCCGGAGATTGCTGCTGTCCCAGCGAATGCGTCATGGCAACCGATTCATGAGGTAAACCGCTGCTACCATCATCGTCGCTGACCCTAAAATATGAAGAAAACGAGAGTTCCTCATAGAAGATAGCCGTGTATAAAGTGGCATCAGCGTGATAGGCTAGCCGACAACAAGGCGGGTCAGATATCAGGCAAGTCGAAAAAAAGTGAAATAAAAATAGTCCAGTTGAAGAATTGATAGTGTTTGTGGTAATACTGAATGCACATGTGAGTAGATAACTTCGCCTCCCCAATAAAGCTTAAATCAGTCAGATCACAGCAAAGCAGACAGGGCTGAAGAGCTCAACAAGCAGATAGTTAGGATTGGAACACAAACTCTGCTGATTCCGACGGTAGGAGCCTTCGAACAAGGATTCGATAGTTGAACACCACTGTACTGGCTAGCATCGGATTCGACGTCAATTCAGATTTTCTGCAGAAATCGAGAAGAGAAAAGTTACGGATAAGACCAAGAAAGTGATGGGATTTCCTAACACGCACTGAGGAAGAAATAGTGAGAGCAACGAAGGCGGACTCCGTCGTGACGTGAACATTCACCAAAGTAATTCTTAGCGCAGGACACTGGCGGACTCCAGTGAAGAGCAAATATATCCAAAACCCATTTAAAAGCGAGAAGCAGAGCCCATCTAGTTCTCCGACAATCAAGAATGAGATTACTTGGGAAAAAAAGTGGGATAGCACGCGCCGACGGTGGTAGCTGTTTAATTCCATCAAGTTAAAAGAGGAAAAAGCAGAAGAATAGGTACTTACAACTTTGAAAGACTAAGGGAAGTTAAGAGACGTGTTATGCTGCTTCCTTGAAAAGTGGGATGTTTTGGACAAAAAGGCTCAAGAGCACTCAGCAACGGTGGCAACGTACGATGAAAGTGAACTACACCACCAAGGCGGCTCTGGAGTTTCTACACCTCTACAAAATCAGCAGAGAGGGAGAGGGCATGAGGTCACATACACAGAAAGTGACAAAAACCGTTTCCTGCATTGCCGTCCATGTGGCCCCACACAGATGGCCCTGCCCTCCCAATGCACATCAGCGAATTAGGCGGACTCAAAGTTCTGGCTCACTGAGACCTCGTGGATAAAGATATGCTGAGCTGTCAACGGAAACGATATAATGTTAAAAGAATTTGACCTCATCTTTAACTCCGTTAAGTGACACTTCGTGAGGCAACACATAGGATTCACGCATTACAAAACAGGGGGTCAAGCTCCGTGGTGGTTACTGCATCAGTGCGATTCCTTTGCGCTGAGAGTTGGACCTATCTTGTCTGAACGTGTGGGAACGTGTGTCCATGACTGTGATTGTGTGCCACTCGCATCCCCCCCCCCCCAATTTTTCTTTCAATGTCTCCTAAAGCAGCCTGGAATGCGCAGCGCCTTCAAACTCAACGAAGTAGATAATGCAATGGATGCAAGCTCCGATAGGTGAATAGTCGGGAGAACGAGCGACAATGTTTTCTTCACAGACTTTCAACGTCTTTAATGTCTCCGAGAGCAACTCAGATAATACGGGTAGCATGGGTATAGTGGAGAAGGCGGTAGGCTGGTGTGTTTTTCTGAGGGTGGGGTATGGCCTACCTCAGCGAAATTGGAAGTAATCTTATTCATCAAAAGGCTTTTGTTCTACACTTTATGAATGCATGGGTCAAGAGAACAAGTGTACTTACAGAGTGATCCTCCTGAGGTTGGAAATCCTCGGACCTAAACTTGAAATACAAAAAAACCCCATGACAACGGTGACAAAACGCGCAACATGTCTGTTAACAAGCAGAGTAAATCGGCCTCCTCTTCATCATATCCACGTGGCAAAAACAAGTCTGTTTATGTGATCCGCAAACTCAGCTTAAAAATTGGCGCAATGATGAATTTTTTAATGAAAAAGGAGAAATACACCACTTACCTCGGTTTCGTCAACCAAGGTAGTTGACCGGGACCTTGGGGGATGGGACAAAGAGGGTAGAGGAAGGACTCCTCGGCTCGTCGGTGCACCCACACGACAATGTTGGAGGAGTGACAACGCGACAGCAGTGCCTCCCATCCACAGGCCATTCTCTCCTCCAGTGTCACGCCGGACTGTTTTGTTTCAGGAGGCAGAAAAGAAAAGAAACACAACGCCTTAAAGGTTCAACCAAGGCAAGTCACGTGAACCGTTTTCAATGCTTAACTGATCAGCAAGAAATCACTACCGCTTATATTTTTACTCTGTTTATTCTTGTTTTTTATTTCGAACACCCGTATTTTGATTACCTGGAGCTAGAACCAAACCAAATTAGACCCAAAACTGACAACATGATTTTTGGTCGTCAAACCTATGCTGTGCAGAGGACTCGAAGCTATTGCTCAGTGGGACTGTGGCTGTTGAATGAAGTTTCCTTTTAAATCGGAAGCGGTTACAATGCAAGCAGGTACGCCTCAAGCTGCTCAAGCACGAAATCACAGCAAGGAGTGATACAGCTACTACTTTAAATAGCGAACTGGAACAGGTGAAGACACAAATCGACGAGCTAAAGAAGCTAAATACCTTTCACTACACAGATTGAACAATCAACGGTCGTTCCTTCCTCTCACTGATGAAAAGGTTAGTCATCATTCGCATTACCTCATTGCCAGATATGGTAAAACCGCATTGTTTCCTACCACTACAGGTATTTATTGGAAAAAATGCCCAAAAAGAATATGGCTTGCTATTCACCAGTAAAATTAGCGTTGCTTGCTCAGCAAACTAAACATCATCAGTTGGATTAACTGGGGTGGGGAGGCTTCTCTGAGTTGTTGGCTGACCAATCTTCTTGAAATGTCACGCCAGATCACATTTGTTTACCACAAGTAGTAGTGAGCATCGAATTCTTCCACAATTAACCGACTGAAATATCTTCTAAGCCTGGCACTGAACAACGGTGGCTGTTTGTTTAATTCTCGGTTTTGGCGAAGGAGCCGATAAGGTGTTCCGTCATTGTATATTTGCCAGAGTGGACTGGCCTCTGGACCACGACAGTAGCCCCAAGCCATACTGTATGTCAAATATGTATATTTTGTCCGCGTATCATTTCTTCTTCCGTCTTCAGGGAAGTCTTTGGAGCGCTACAGGCACCGTGCTTTGAGCAGTTGAGGAAAACTTCATTATCAAAATTAATTGAAAACACTCTCGTAACTTCGCTTCTCATTTCGTGGAGATGGCATAAGTGACTCCTGTATGAAATATAACGAAAGGAAGTAGTTGTGACATAGAAATAACCTATTTCTAAAACTCCCCACCTATTCTCACCAGGACGGCTTACGCAATACGGAAGTCAGTAGACACTACCGAAAAGTAACCGACTTCTACAATCATTCTGCTAATAAATGTGGAGTCAGAAAGATGATGAGGGTAGCAAGAGAATCAACACACCGCATCACATATGAAGGCAGGAGATTGCTGTAAGTACACCAGTGCAGAAAACCGATCAGACGGCCCTGAGTCGGGCTGAGAGGCTCCGCGTGAGGGGAAGATGTCGCAGTTCAAGTAGCAAGTATCTGCACGCACGGAATATTCTTTTCTAAGAGAGGGAGAAGGAGCAGTGGAAGCGCGTATGCATGTAATAGACAATGGGGAGGTGGAAGAATGACGAGCTTACGGAACCAATGTGTCAGCTACCAGACAGTTAAGATTGAGGAAGGCAACTCGATAGCCTCGACTATGCGCCAATTTCACAAATTCAATCTGACTGCCCGTTTTGAGGCCTCGGGAGAGGGGTTCACTGCCCTCCTGCGTTAGATGAGTGGGCTCCCACACACCCAGAGTACTTTCATTACAACCTTGAACCACTATTAGAAGGGGCCCAGTGTAGGAGAAGAAATCTTCCGAGTGAAGAATCTCCAACGAAAGTGCAGGAAAGGGTGGAAGCTGAAAAATCCACAAAACAGTAAATTACAGCCGGTAAAATAACGTTAATTTTAAGCGCAGGTTTTCCGCGAATGATGTTCCTAGTGGTGAAGACGTACCGGCACTCGCGTGAAGGTCATTCTGTAGTGAAGAGTGAGGATCCGCTGGATCAACCGAGCAGACATCTAAAGGATGGAAGTGAAAGACTTAAGTTGTTAAGTTGGATGTGCAGATTGTTAATGTAAAGCTATTAGGAGGAGAAAAGGAGGATTTAGGCTAGGTCAAGGCATTAATCTCGAATAGAGAAATTGCTCCTGATGAGACTACGAATGCAACGCCAGCCGCATAATGTTAATGCATTTGAAATCTCCGGCGTCAAGGGACACCCTTTCATACGCCTAACGTATAAGCTGCACATCAAATTTGTCAAGTGATGTCTGGGAGAGGATTAGGTGCATTCGTTAAAAAATGCCGACTAGACAGTGGGAGCAGTGGAAAAAAGATCATTCTATCACTTACCGCCTGATACATTCCGCGCTCATACGCCGTCGTTTTACGTTCCGAAAATTCCAGTTCTATAAGTTGAAGTTACACGAAATGTAAGTATGCATACAAGTGACTGCATCCAGAACCAAGGTTTACAGAAAAGTGAAATAGTGGATATCGGCAAGCTTTGTGGGGGTTCATTGGAAGTCTCTTCAGGAAGTTACTAACAACCAGTAACTGATATCAACACCGCCTTCGATAAACCCATTTTTGTTGTTGAAAGTACAAATAGTCAACAAAGTGTACATAGCCAAAATTGCTTTGACAGAAACTTGCCTTCGTGTTGAACTAGTTCGAGTTTGAGGGGTTCACACAGCTCGCACAGCTGAGTAAGGATGTACTTCGGGACAGGAACCATCTCCACATTGAACTCGCCATTTGATCGAACTACCAAAAGGAACAGTAGGTGTACAGTACCGTTAATGATAAGAGAATTTTGAGTTCCTGGTATAGCATTTGGGCTTTATTTGATGAAGCAGCATCGCCCTAAATCGCGTTCCAGAAAACAATGAGGGGAGAAGAAGCACACAACTGTCTGTTTTGGAAGGTAGCTTGGGGACACTTAAGAGTAGGGAAAAGAGCAGATTTCCAAACGTACAGATGGGGCGAGCATTTGGATACTTATCATGACGGTAGAGATCAGAGAGCTTTCTTAGCTCAACTGGATCAGCTGGAAAGGCATGGAAAAGCCACATAAAACTACTATTTCCACACAAAGCAGAACTTTACAAAAAAACTGGTCACATAAATAAACTTACTACCTTGAAGAGTTTCTATAATTCACGAAAAATTACAAAATCGGTGAGTGCACAGAGACAAATTTATGCCTCTCAAACATGTTACTACCGCCAGACCAAAAGAGGAGTCGGGAAATGGACGACGCAGGTAAACGGCAAGAGGCTCAAAAAGTTAGTCTAATTAACCGATGTGGATTCCAAATGCCCCAGAAAAAGGATTTATGCTTGTTCATAGAAAAAAAATTAATTAAAAGAATAAAGAACGGAGACTCCACATCATGAGTGGCCATACCCGACGACGTGATAGCGGCTTTTAAAGTTTGTTTCACCTCCTCTGACAACTTATGTGGCTTTGAAGGGAGCTTTGGAGTTTTGGAAGATTCTGAAGAGAACAATAAACAGGCAGTTATGCCTATGACAAAAAATTAAAAGCAACCATGTGGTTACAATGGCAGCTGTGCGGTGAAATGGGACAAAGGGAAAAAAACGATTAATGTCCAACGTTAGAAACAGAAAAGGTAAGGTGTCAATGCAAATAACAAGGTAAATTTACTGTATTTAAAAACAATAAAGGAAAGACTTTTTCAAAAAAATGTGGAGAAACGCTCCAAGTAGGTAAAGCATAAGATTATTGTACAAAAAATTCAATGGCAAAACATAACCGGACGGAGAGAGAAGGCTCACGACTATGGGTTCCACAACATGAGTAATAAATTTAATGGTTAAGAAGTCAAGAAAACAGGAAAACTCGAGAATAACTCCCATCAAAAAAAGCTAAAAATCCCATAAATCCTACCACTTTGAGCCTAGACTGCCTCGGACAGATAATGTCAAGCATTTGGTCGAGATAAAGACAAGATGTGGAGTACGGGAGATACAAAAAAAAATGCTGATTCAGACCGAAATTTTGCGAACAATTCCAAAGGAGAGTCCTTACTCCGTTTAGGTGACTGGCTCGGCTCTGCCGGTTCTGAAATATCGAAACGGAAATTTCCGTAGATAAAAGATCAAAAGCGAGAATAACTCAAATTGCCAGAGCACGAAAAAAAACAAGAACCCCATCACCCTGCACCCCAACTGACTCGGACATAAATTGGGTCAATCAATTGCCCAACAGACAAAGACGATATATGGAGCAGAGGAAATAGCGAGAGCATTTACAACACAGGGATTCGACATGCAATTTCACGAATTAAATCTCACTCAATTTTGGTGGTTGGTCTAACTCTGCTGATTCTGTAACATTGAAATGGGAAGTATTGAAGTAGATGGGACAGTAAAAAGTGTGATTATCCTGGATGGCCAAAAACGGGAAACTACACGAACCCTATCAGTCTGCATCCAGCCGAATCGAATAGATGGGATCAAGCAGCATGTGGAGAAAAGGAAATAACAAGAGGTTTTTTCAAACAGAAATTGCAATGTGAAATCTTACTCGAGGTTGATGGTTGGCACGGCACTACTGGTGCTGCAGCATTTAAATAAAAATTTTCGTAAATAAAACTTGAAAAAGCGAGAATAACCTGAATTGCCAAGAAATGGCGAACCACGAGAACTCTTTCACTCTGCACTTCAACCGACTCGGAAACAATTCAGATCAGTCAATCGTCCATCAGACAAAGACAGCACGTGGAGCAGAGGAAATAGCCACAGCATTGCGTACAGGGAAATCAAAAAAGAAATCTTACTCGGTGTTGATGATTGTTGTAGCCCGGCTGCTTCTGCAAGAATGTAGTGGGAATTCTTATAAAAGTAGAAGGGGGATGAAAATGTGAAAATAACTCGGACCGACGAAAACGGAAAACCATGCCAGCCCTGTCACTTTGGCCCAAAATGACTCGGACACAACCAAGGTCAAACGTTCGTCCATTAGGCAGAGACAACACGTGCAGCAGAGGAAATGGCAAGAGCATTTCAGACAGGGATTTGAAAAGCAATTCCAAAGGTGAAACCTT